ACTTACAAGGTATCATACTTACCTCGGATACAGTGCTTGTACAGTATGTAGATAACCTACTACTAGCATCACGGACTCAGGTAAGCTGCCGGACGGACACTTTAAGACTATTAGAAGGATTAGCTGAAAGAGGACATAAAGTATCCCTGGGAAAATCACAATATTGCCAAAAGAAAGTTACATACCTGGGGCATGTGATCTCAGAGGGACTGCGGGAATTGTCTAATGAAAGGGTAAAGGCTATAAAAGACTTGCCAAAGCCCACCACTAAGAGGCATGTGCGAGCCTTTTTAGGAGCGGCTGGATTTTGCCGGCCGTGGATCCCTGCTTACGGAGAGATGGCTAAGCCTCTAGTAGAGACCACTCGGAAGGGAGAACCTGAAGTGGTTCAATGAACCCCTGAGCTAGACCATGCTTTTCACCAAGGTAAACACCAGCTATCGCAAGCCCCTGCTCTAGGACTCTCCAACTACGAGAAGCCGTTTGTCTTGTTTGTCCACGAGAGACAGGGAATAGCTTCAGGAGTCCTAACCCAGAAACTGGGACCTCAACTACGCCCGATCGCTTATTACTCTGCCACTTTAAATCCAGTGGCAAAAGGGGTAGTTAGCTGTCTGCACGCCGTTGCAGCGGCAGCACTGCTTGTTGAGCAGTCAAAAGAACTAGTCATGGAATACCCCCTCGAAGTCAGAGTTCCTCATGAAGTTGAAGCCCTAATGACTAAAGAAAAAACTCAAGCCTTCTCTCACCAGTATTTAGGCTGGTATGAAGTGACTCTGCTAGCTGCCGAGAACGTGCGCATCTCACGCTGTACTAGCCTCAACCTGGCCTCACTTTTGCCTTATCCCGAGGATGGAGAGCCACATCACGACTGCTGCACCTTCGTTCGCATAATGGAAAAGCCCCAAGATGACCTCACTGATGTGCCCCTGAACAATCCTGACTTGGTCTTCTATGTGGATGGGTCCTCCTATATAGAAGCTGGAGTTTGTCGGACTGAGTATGCGGTCGTCACTGACTTCAACATCGTTGAAGCAAAGCCCTTATCTCCCCGGTTAAGTGCACAAGCAGCTAAACTGATTGCTTTAACTCGTGTATGTGAACTGGCAACCGGAATGACTTTAAACGTATACACTGACAGTCGGTATGCATTTGGGATTTGCCACTCCACTGGGCAATTATGAAAACAGCAAGGCTTCATTACTTCTTCCGGAGCAAAGACTGCGAATTCCACTCAGGTTTCTGAGCTCCTGGAAGCCATCCAGAAACCCAGACAGATAGCCGTAATGCATGTTGCCGCACACACCGGCGGGAGCACGCCTCAGGCTAAAGGAAACGAGTGGGCGGATGCTGCTGCCAAAGCCGTCGCTCAACAACCCATAAGTCTCAACACCCTTGCTCCTGTGTGGGAGAAACCCAGAGCCTTAGAAAGATATGAGCAAGCGTGCAAAGGAGAAGAAGAAGACTGGAAACATCTCTATGGGGCTTATTCAAAGGATGGACTGTGGTACACTAGCGATAACCGCCCCATCTTGCCTAAAGCACTACAGCGGTCCCTGTGCCAAATAGTCCATGGGCAAGGTCATTATGGGGCAACTGCCATAGCTGAAACCATTCTCTGAGTTTGGTTCGCCCCTGGGATCCATGCAGTGCCTAAACAAGTGACCAGCGTCTGCCCCATTTGCCCAGCATTCAACTGTGGCCCAGAGAGAAAAGTCCCACCTGGGGGCCGACCTTGGGCATATCAACCATTTGAGAGACTGCAAATAGACTTCATCGAACTTCCCCAGTGCCGAGGATACAGATATGCCTTAGTAGTGTGAGATCAGCTCACCCATTGGGTGGAGGCGTTTCCTGCCACCCATGCCTCTCATCAGCAAGTCGCTCACGCACTTCTAAAGGACATTATTCTGCGGTTCAGCATACCCCAAGTCATTGACTCAGATCAAGGAGGTCACTTCACCTCCCAGGTCTTACAAACAATTTACACATGATTGAGAGTTACTAGGCAGCTTCACACCCCTTATCACCCTCAATCATCTGGAGGGGTGGAAAGGGCAAATCGGACTCTAAAAACCCTTCTAGGCAAAGTGTGTTTGGAAACTCAGCTTAAGTGGCCTGAGGCATTGCCTCTTGCACTGTTTGCTATGCGAAATGTGCCTAGAGCTGATGTTAAGATATCTTCCTATGAGCTTTTATTTGGTCATCCACCCCCCATTACCCGTGGTTTCCTTCTGCCAGCTACAGGATTGCTAGCAGGGGATGAGAATTTAACCCATTATGTAATTTCTTTGCAGAAGCAGCTTACTACTTTACAGCACCGTGCTGCCGTTCAGCAACCTGTACCCTTTGATTGCGAGATACACCCCTTCAGTCCCGGTGACTATATGTGGATCCATGTTCCGCGACGGAAAAGTTGCCTGGAGCCAACGTGGGAAGGACCATACCAAGTCCTACTAACCACCCACTCCGCAATCAAGATCACCAAAAGGAATTCATGAATCCATCACACACATGTGAAACCTGCAGTGTTTACCCCAACAGAACCTCATTGTGTACCTCCCCTTCGACTGCGGAGATCCAACAGTCAATAGACAATATGTGCCTTGCAAGTACTGCCATAAGTATATTTATGTTAGTAGTCTGTCTGCCCACATTAATCGGGTGCCCCTGCAGTCTCACCTGGTTCGCAGGAGTCTATCCTGGCACCCAACTAGGGTATTCTAATACCAAACAAGTTCAAGTACTCTCAGATGTCTTTTGTTTTTAACCTGTTGTTGTATTCAATATATTAGAACCCTACCTTCTGTATTATCCACATGTTGTAGATGTACTATGCATAACATAGAAGAATGTGTTGAAATGTCTAAAGCTGAAGTGCTAGAATGCAAGAAGTGTTTAGATGCTAAGTATGGTAGAAAGTGATCCCGGCCTTTGAAGGCCGGGATCAAAGGGGGGATTGTAGAAATTTACTAACAAGACCATAAATAATAGTGTAGAAGTTAACTATAAAGGAGACTCAGCACTTCAAGGACACAGGCCTAGTCACCTTGAAGTCTGAAACAATCAAGGATATATAGCCCTCCTCCCTATTAGTTAGCATGCAGCCAAAAACCAGTTTGAAACAGTTAAGAGTTTTCTCACACTGACCTGGTATCTTGTTTTCTTTCACAGTGGAAAATTCCCACCTGCGCGCGCATCTTGTCTGTAAACTATAAATCACCTTTAACAGTTTTATTCAGGGCCTCTGAGCTTGCTCAGGGTGCCCAGCATGCTGAATAAAATTTGAGACTGACAGCAACTCTGTGTCTTTGGGAACAGCTCTGCAAGGGGTCACAAACTCCTCAACATCGCCACTCTTGGACCAGTCAAGATCACCAGACTCACTGGCTCTGGCAGTCCCAGGCTACAGTCCCTCCTGGACCTTGATCCCCTCTTGAGCTTCTGGAACCTTGGGGGCTCACCAGGCAGCTCCTCCCTGAGCTCCTGGGCCCTCAGGGCCTTCCCAGGTAGCTTCTGGGATACCAGTTCTCTGAGTCTGCTTTGAGTCCCCCTCAGTAGGGTGCAAGGCTAAACCTCAGGTGATTAGGAATGGATACAAAAGCTAGGCAGCTAGGCAGGCACAGTGAACAGATAATGGGATGGGGAAAAGGAAAGGCTTTAAAATACTTTCAATACTAGCTCCTTCTGCCCTGTCATACCTGCCCTGTATCTCCTAAAGTTCTAAGTGACTCAACACAACACATATAGATGCATGCATGTCCACAGAATGGAAGTCTAACTGCCAGGCATGCTATTAACAATCTCAATACCGGGTCTGTAGGAAGACAGCTTTAAATACCATCTCTGTTAATTTTGCTGTTAATTTAAATGGTCTGATCATGCATGAAAATTCCAGTGGGGTGCAGTACTGGGCACTTCAAGCCTAGGGAACACATCACCTGTTGTGCCACAGCATCAACAAGCAATGTGTGTTTCATCCAATGAAGCAGATCAGCTGTGCTGATTCCACACATTCCAGCACAGCTGGCAATGTCTATTTCTAGCCTCTGAGGCCTAAGACTGTGCGTAAGTATTATGTTCAAGTGGTTAGGTGCCTGATACAATGATGTATCTTCTCCATCTTCCTTGTTTTTTATTGTTAATAAGGTTGCTTAAGTACATTTCCTAACTATTAGTTAAATATTTTCACAAAGAATATAAAATAGATTCTTACCCAATCTTTCCATGTTCCTTCAGGATTTTTATCCATGATTGGCTGAAGGCGTTTCAGAAGAGTTTGACAAGCATTCTAGTTATAATAAAAGATGGGAACAATTATGAGTGGACATAAAGATAAATCTGAAATGTAAAAATATTTTATAGTATTTTAAAAATCCAATTTGAAAGTCCTGAGTTAACAAATACCCTCTTGAAACTCAAAACATTAACTTCAGATTTATTTATGAAATTACAAACTATACATGCAGACCAGCAGAACAAGGGTAGTGAGGGCTTGATTCAATGTGTAGTGCAGTGAGTTGAAAGGCTGTTGCTTATATCATTAGGTATTTGGCCTGGTCTCTATTATCCAAAAGCATGCTAGCTTAGATATAATTATTTATCAATAAAATCTAGAACTGCTGAGTTCTTTTAGAGGATCACACCAGCAAGAGATGGGAGCATCAGAACATCTAGAAACTCCTTTAAACAGACAATAAGCATTCAGCTTCTACCAAAAAATACTGAATTTGTCTGTATGCATCCCAGAGAAGAATTGGGGTTTCTTTTAATGCAGCTATATATTTTCCACAACCATTTATCTTTACAGAATTTTCTGATCTGATCAACATAGCAAACTCTTCCTGTGTGTCTACATAATGCTTACCAAATTTTGGATGCTACTATACTGCTAATATGAAACAAACAACAACAGTGTATCTAAACCAGCAGTTCCTAAACTGTGGGTCATGACCCCAAATGGGGTCACAACATCAGCAGATGGGGTCATGAGAGTGGGGGGATGTGGATTGGGAGTGAGGGGTAATACTGAGGAAATGAGGCCATAAATGGGCCATGCTGAGGAAAAGTTTGGGAAGCACTGATCTAAACAGATGCATGTGAGGAGGTCTACATGGAAGAAACAGGAAGTGAATGAAAATAAATATAACCTTCACTGCCATCCCATTTATATCAGTACCAATAGATGCTGCTGTAGGTCGTGTATTAGGCACAGTAACTGTGCTTGTTTCACAGATATGGATAAAAGAAGTTGGTATCTTTAATTCACGGCTGGCAACCTATTGTGGGGAAAATGGGAAATTTATTTTTAATCAGTTATCAAACACACAGGTTACCCATTTTCTTTACTTTGAAATTATAAAATCTTGTTTCAGCTTTGCCAAGGTATTTAAAATTATTAAATATTATCTTCATTAATAAAAGCAAACAAAATTTTAGTGATCAAAATTACACTAATAATTGTCAATTTCCCCTACTTGTGTGCGTCTTTCTTACTGGGGAAAGAAAAAAAACCCATTATAAAAATAGTCCAATGTGATTCTAAAACCACAAGGATTGTCAGGGAAACTAATAGATCAATGCAGTACATAATAGTAATTTTAAAAAAATGAAATTATTGTTTGTATTTACTAAGATCTGCCAGTATGTAATAAAACTGATTATCATACATGATAATGCCACCAACCAGACAGAAACATTAAAATAAGGAATCTGCTTCATTTGGTTATTCTAATATATTTATTAGATCCATTTAGTAATATATTGTGATATTGCTGTGTATATACATATGTCTATGTATTACCTGCATAATTTTGGTGTGAATACCTTGGCCCAACTCAACTCCTCCATGAGTTACCAGCACAGACCCATCCATATAGATATGAACTAAAGCTGCAGCCTAGAAATAAATAAAATGCAGAGGCTGGTTAAATTACACCATTGCAAACTAAAAGCAAAACATGATCAAATGAAGTGATCACATTGCATAGAATGATGTACAACCCAGAAGCAGCTGGTGGTCAGAATATTAAATGGCCACAGCATTCTATGAACATATATTATTAATTATTAAAGAAAACTTTAAAGGCACAGTCACAAGTGCATCCCAGCACAGATTTTGCTGTTCAAATAAAACGTATTCAGACCACAGGTTGCATGGATTAAAGCGGGGCTCAGCCAACCTGTAGCCCACATGCCAAGTTTGGCCTGCAAAGAGATTGGAACTAGCATGTAAAGCTCTGGCCTAACCCAGGACAACACAGGGGATCAGGTTGCATACAGCTGTGCCATGCTACCCATCCCATCTACAGCCTCCCCGCTCCACAGCCCTCACTGCTGCTGTCTCATGTCTGAGTTTACCCTCACGGTAGAGGGGCCAGGGATCAGCAGCAAGGGTAAACGCAGGCAACATGGGTGCTCCAGAAGGCAGAGATTTGCAGTCCAAGGCAAAGGCTCCAAGCCCACAGCAGCAAAAGGTTGCCAACCTTTGATGTAGAGGAATGATTCACCGAGACCCTTTGCTTGGTGAAGATATAACCTTGGTGAACAGATAACCTCCATTTATCTGTAAAACTGAGATAATGCTATTTGTCTACTTCACAAATGTGTCATGAGTTTCAATTATTACCTGTAAAGCTTTTAAAGTTCCTTAGAGAAAAGTAATCCAAATATTTTCAAAACTACCTGATTGAGAAACATTGCATCAAATCCAATTGAATATTTCAGTGGAATAATGGCAATCCCTTTCTTTTTCCAATAATTTTGCTTGTTAAATTTGTCCACAGCTGTTTTCCTGATGTAATAAGATGACTTCTCCATACACTCATTCCAACATTTTACCAGGTTATTTGGGTCCAGTTCTTGCTTATAATGTGTTTGATTACCCTTTTTGTACATGTTTATATCCCTAATCTGAGGAGGGAAAAATAGCACAAAGAACAGAAGAAATAGGTTGCATTGTAACTGGAAGGCTTATCTAAAAATAAAACTATTTTTTTTTTTAAAGGTAAAGCTACAAAAAATAAATGTTGTTAAACTGTACTTGCTAATTCTTACCTTCTCAGGTGACAAACCAGTTTTGATTGCTACATCTGTTATCCAGGATTCTGTAACTAGGCCTGACTGGGGGAAACCAAATCCTCGGAAAGCTGTATTTGATGGCAAATTCGTTTTGCAGACTTTGCCCCAGCATCGCAAGTTGGGAATCATGTACGCATTATCCATTCTTAGCAATGCAGTCTCCATTATCTTCAGTGGAGAAATAGCTGAATTAGTTACTAACTTTATTTGCATGTGTACATTACATATAGTTTAAGGCCCCCATTAGGCAAAAGCTTGATCAAAATGAGGAATCTTTTTTTGGGCCTGGAAGTTCAGTATAGTTGTGCTCTGGTAGGCAACATGCATGAGTTCATCCTCCTCAAGCATGCATATCTAGAGCCTGCCAGCATGTCTGCCCTACATAGCTGACTTTTTCTTTATTATCATCCTCACAAGACAGCTTGGTCACAAGCCACTTAAGGCTTTACAGAACATGAATCTGTTAAAAATTGCACTTGGAAACCAGCCCCGTTCACCGAGAACACAAGAAATATGTTTGTGCTAACACACTCTACTAAGCCTATGAGTAGTTGTGTTCTTTATGAATGGAAACTTCCAAGTTTGATTTGCAGAGTCCTCCTTCCCTGACAGAATAGTCTTTTCAGTAGAAAAATTGAGATGAGAATCTTCAAGAAATATCAGGAATAGCCTCTTGAAAATCTTAATAGTTAATAGTATCTTCTGTATATAGTTACAGGAGCAATGCATCACAAGGTAAGCTAGTGAACTTCTCCCAAATAACTACTAGTGTACTTGCTCTTACCCCATGGTAAATGTGAGGCTGCTCAACTCTCAATGAAAGCAGGGTGAACTGCCTTGCAGTTACTGAAGGGTAAAAACATGCACATATATTAGGGGTGGGCAAAATGTGGCTCGCGGGCCAGATGCAGCCTGCCAGGCTATTCTATCTGGCCTGCGGGGCCCCTAAAAATGTAGAAAATTAATATTATCTGCCCTGGGTTGCCTGTCATGCAGCCCTCGATGGCTTGCCAAAACTCAGTAAGCAGCCCTCCACACAAAATAATTGCCTGCTCCTGGCACAGATGGACATCATAGAGTAGCTGAGATGCTGAAAATTTTGGCTTACCCCATGATACCTTGCTCATGAAGCCATGCCCTTAGAAAACAGGGTAGGTGAGATTTTCAGTGGTACAAATAGGAGTCAATCACCCAAATCTCATTAACTTCCAGTGACAATGGCATGTCTAACTGCCCTTTGATGCCTCACAATATTTAATGGAGTTGGGCAGTAAATGAAATGGGGGGAGGAGGGCAGAACCCCAAACACCCTTGCTTTTCCCTGAAAAGGTTAAGGTAAATACTTTGAATATAAGGATTGGATCTGACTCACTCAACTTTCAAATTTCTTCTCTTAATAATATCAGTTTACAAAACACTTACTTACCACAATGGATTCATCTGGTGTACATCCTCCATTACTATAATATCTTACATCCAGAGCTATTATTCTGCCATCATTCATGAATCCTACCTAAAACAGGTTACAACATTGTCAGGCTTTTTTCCCTCCCAAGTACTTATCAAAATCAACTGTTTTTATATACACGTTAAATAAAGTAAATCTGTTAGTCACTTAAGTCAGAAAGAATGTTTTCAGGATAAAGGGTCAGTTAAAAGTCTTTTTTTTTTTAAGGAAGAAAAAGGGTCATGAAATGGAATATATATTTTTTTGTATGTAGTCCTTCCACTCACTCGATATTTTCCAAGGAAAGGATGTCTGCCTCCAGTTATTAACATATCGTCTCCCCGGTCCAGAATGCATCGAACAACATGGCCAGTTCTATATTAAACAAAATGTTCACTGCTAATTGGGGTGGAATCAGTCACCGATATAAACACAATATTAACTACTGTTCTTGATACTTGGTTCAGCTACAATAAATATTAAAAACCCCATTAGCTATCATACAGGGAATGAATCCCGCAAGCATATATTCATCTGAGTAGTTCCATTTAATTCAAAGGCATCACTTCTGTGGGTAAAGTGGAGGTTTAATCCAGCAGTCATTTTACATTCACAGGCAGAGAATAAATTAGTACAATTCAAAAGTTAAGGCATTGTATCTATTTATCTCACAGCCACTGATCACTGGAAAAAGTTAACCTACTGTAGCAAAGAAACAAGATTTTTGCTAACCTTTTTTGTTTTCCCAGATTAGAAGATGTAACGGGTATAATGAATGGCTTGAACTAATCAACAAGTTTTTGTTTCTTGTGTCAATGTAAATAACAGGGCATTAACCATTTATTCCACAAATTACAATTTTGGTTTTTTTTAATTCCACACTTACTTGTTTGCTGCCACTGCTGTGACAGCTGCCAGTATAGCAGGTTTGGTCACCTTTCCTCCAAAACCACCACCAACTCGTTTTACATGGCACATTATCCTACTGGAGGGGACATTTAAAACTGAAGCCACTAGTTCCTGCAAAATCAGTTCATAATTTTGTATCAATATAATTCTCCAGAAAAAGATGTTATACCAGTACAGGAGCAGGCAAACAAAACTTATATCAGTTCAGCTGCTGCAAACTTCTGAGCAGCAAGTCCTCCCGCTTTTGAAGCAGCGTAATTATATACCTGTCTCTGGCATTAGAATTTCAAGACCCCAGATGCCCCCCCAGACCCAGGAGGCACCAGTTGCTGAGCCGGGGGGGGGCACCCGGGGTGCTTCTGGTCCACTTCTGGGTCTGCTGCCAAGTGCGCTGAGGAGCCCCGCCCACGCTCCTATGGAACGCTCCATCCACCCCAGCACTGCAGCGTTCATGAGCTGCCTGGTACCTCGAGGTATGTAGAAAAAACATTTAAAGCTGTGTCTATGTCTGAATAATCGAATCTTTCTGAATCTCGCCGATCAATTCGGAGGGTTCCAATTTGATTCGGAGAGATTAAAGGGTCTCCTGATTAGATTTGGAGATTCGGCTACTGAATCGGGCCAAGTCTCCACTGAATCGAATCAGGAACCAAAGCTTCACACAGCCCTATTGACTGTACAGATAGTTATTTTATTACATCACAAGAGTGTCTTCCCAGTTAGCCACTAAAAGAGAAACACCATCCTGTCCATTAAAACATAATAAAAAGACTCTTTTAGGGCTTTTTCTATACCTTAATTTTGGCCAACATGGTGCTAGCACTATATTACCTGAGTAAATGTTGGATGCTGTGAAGACACGTACACATCCATTTCTTTATCCTCTCCTTTTGGAACAACAAGAACACTCTGAGTTTCCATGTAGAAATGTTCCTGTCCCCCAATGTGAATCTCCCCTGTTCAAAAAATAAACAAATAAAAAAATATATCTTGTGGAGAGAATAAGAAGATGACAACATATAGTACAAAAATATATATTTAATTTAATTTGTTCATATTGTAATATATTGTCTTAGATTTCTGTTATAGTTAAAACAGACTAAGAAATAGATTTCTGCTAGTTTTAGTTGTTGTTACTGCTATTTCTTTTTATTTTAAACCCAAAAAATCATTGTTCAAAAATTTGGAAGATGATAGTTCAACCAGCACTATTACATAATACAGACAAATTATATCTATTTTGTCTCAAAGAGGGTGAGTTAATTAAGGGAAGAGCTGCTTATATAAATACCTAGGTAGCTATTTATCTTAAAGATACTAAGAAATGGATAATAAAATGAAGCATAAGTAAAAATCAGACATAGAATAATAATACGGAGAAATCAAGTTTCACAGTCAAAAAGGTAGGACTGTGGTATATGGATTACTTTTAAACAGGTACTAAATTTCCTCATGATTATCATAATTTATTAAGTATTAATAATACATTGAGCATTAATATATAACTTGCTTTAAAAAGATACAGAGATCTTTAAAGCTTCGATTTCAATGCAAGTAAAAACTTGTTTAATGTGGCTCTTTCACTGGGCCACCTTTCAACAAATTAGCAAAGCCACGCAATTCTTAAGGAGGATAAATATAAGAGAACACTGCAAATAAGCAATAAATAAAATAAAATACTCTAGAAATTATGTTAAAAGTATAAATTTCAGGAAGATAGCACTATGGGGTCTTCACTGGTAAAAATGTTTTGACAGGAGAAAGAAAAATGTATTGGTGATACAGAAACCAGAGCATTAAACAGATTCTGAGCTTCTAAAGCATTCCAGTGTGCTCTGGAGTTTTGTACTTCACAGTACTAGTTCATTCGTCATTAAAGACAGAGGCATAACAAGCAGCTTCTGTGCCGTGGGCATCAGTTTACCTTCCAAAATCTGATCAACAGTTTCAAAGGCTTCATCAACATTTCCTTGTTCTAGTTTTCTTTCTGGATCATAGAATGAATTATTCTTTATTGCCTCCTGCAGTGTGAAGGAGAAAATTTAAAGAACAAATCAAGTTTCCAATGCTTCACATAACCTTTCAGTAGTGCTTATTATGATTACCGTGACCACCAGCCCAATATATGCTTTTCTGCTTAGACCAGTTAAGGAGAGATACCAGATAGTTTTCATATTTTTAAACTAAGGAATTTCCAGATTGAGATAACAGATATTCAAAACTTTCCACTAAATCATAACAGATGAATATTTCAGGGGGAGTGGGGGGAAATGTTACACTGTTTGTTTTCTGGCTAACTATGAGTACCAGGGAAAATATTACCTCAATAGTCAAAATCACAGGCTCCAGAGCTTCATATGTTATTTTCACTTTTACAGCTGCCCTCTTTGCATGAACATCTGTATCTGCAACCACAGCACAGACAATCTGACCCACACAAATCACCTGCAACACACCCCAAAATATAGTTGGGTAAAGCCATGTTAAGATATAGCAATAATGGAAAATAGAAATAACAATTACAAATATTCCAATGTAAGAAATAATTGGGGTCACAATCTTGCAAATACAGGCAGCCCTTGACTTAAAACATTTCAGACTTACAAGGTTTATAAACTGACACCCTGTTTCAAATTTCTGACGTCAGTTTCAACTTTATAAGGCTTGATCCAATATGACACCATGCCAGCGAACAAGTTCGCTACGTGGCTCATCTCCCTGGAGAACATCTGTCCAAACTTCCTTGGACACTTTCTTAAAGAAAGCAGACAAGAGTCCAGAAAAACCTGCAGCCAAGACTCCTGAGAAAACTCCAGCCAAGAACCCTTCAAAAAGTCCAACCAAGAGCCCTTCAAAATGCCCAGCAAAGTCACCTCAAAGAAGTCCTTCTAAATCAATATAATTTATATTTACATAATAAATACATTGATGTAGTTATATTACTCATCTTTAATTGATTGAGTACAAAATTCTGGGGTATTTTTGGTGAGAATAGGGTATCAGGCCTTGGTTCAGGAACCAATCCTCCATTTATAACATTGTTTCTTATGAGAAAATTGGTTCTGAGTTACAACGTTTAGACTTGATGCAGTTTTGAAGAACCAATTGTGTCGTAAGTCCAAGGACTGCCCGTAGTTAGACATGCAAATAACTTTACACAGATGACCATTCTCCTACTGCAGGATTGGGGTTCCAAACAAAGAGCCAGATCCTTCACTCTTGTAAAACTTTATAGCTCTTTTGGACAGGTTTCTACCTCACAAAGCCCTCTAACTACTATAACCACTAACAGCTGTTTAAGCTGAGAAGCCAGTGGTCCCAAAGATGCAGCTATTCTACCATCCATTGAAGTGCATGCACCTTGTCCCTGATAAGCTGGTTCTGGTGGTATTACCAGAGACCTGGATTATAGCTGATGGCACTGACGTGCACATATCATGTGCTACAGGAGGTGAAGGGTGTTTTGTCCTCTGATCCTCTTGCATATATCAAGTGGTCCCAGTCAGGTGGTGCTACCTATCCATTTGTATATTCTGGTTCTCCAAAGTTCAGTGTTGGGTATCTTCTCTACAAGGACAACTTGTACTCCCACTATGTCCACCCCAGGCAGGAATGCAACATTCAGATTGCATTTAAACCATGTGTAAGGAGCATCTTTATGCTCCATCTTCCTCTTTCATGCTGCACATTGTGTACTTTGCTCCAACATCAAGTGTCAGGCCTGACTGCCATCATCCAAAGTCAACAGGATCCTTGATGGGCAAATCTGTACTACAAGTTAGTTCATTTACCCACCAGGAACATCAATTAGCACATGGAACAGCAAGCGTGAGTGAATAGCTGACATAATTTCTGATGCCCTGATATCTGCCCTTTCTCTGGTGAGGAAATGTGGGTGCTTGCCTACTTAGTAGGGTTGTAGGGCTATTGTAGCTTTGATGATTCAGGGAATAACTAAGAAGCAAAGTTTGTTTGGTAATATATTTTATTAAAGGGCACCTTATGCCCAGAAACTTGTCTAACAGTTTTCCTACCTGTTTACAGTGTGTCAAGTTGCAGTACCCCTTCTGAGCCCTCCAGAAACTTATTGGGTTTCTGACTACGCTTCATGTAACCACTCACCATCTGGCTCCACAAAAGTGAAAGGCTTCCTTGAAAACCTTTGCCAGTCACACAGCAGTCAGGAGGAGGACTGGAGACTCTTTTGAATGCTAGTTTCTTATTCTAAGCCATACATTGAGGCAAAGTTCCTCTGGGAAGCTGTCACTTACTCCAGGGCCTCCTTTTTGGAGCAGGTGGAACAGTCCCTCTGGATCCCATGTTTTGACCTGTGACCTGCACATTCATTTCTATTTTTTGCATTCTTTGTTCCTATATTTAGTTGACCAGGGATATATAATTAGGGATCTGCATCCCTCTGTTCATCTGGATGTGAAAGGTTGGATCTGCTAAGTTCTGCCGGCCAGTACAGATCTTAAAAGACTGGCATCTTTCACAAGTAGCAAAAACACAAACATTCTATTAAGTTCTCTTTCTTTTGGATGTGATTTTCATAACAGATCCTTTTTTTCCATCTCAGAGGAAGACATAGAAGAAAAAAAGCCAAAAACTTTAAATCCAATTAATTAATCATATATTAAATAATAACTGATGCAATATTTTGCTTTTCTTAAAAATCAGTTCAGACAAAGAAAAAATAAATATTGTAGTCTATCCTACTTTCGAATGCATCTGAAGTAGTGTTGCAATAGTTTGCAACTGCAGAATGTACATTATACAGGAATATTCATTCTTTAATTCTTGGTATATATTTATTTATTAATTGAAGGAGTTTTCAGATATGTGCAATATATAAACTGCTTAATATCTGTTTACACATATCAAAAAACTGTAGACTTTTAGACACTGAGAAAAGCTTCTCTCACAAAAAGCTAAATTAAGCCAAAGTTGACTAAGTATAAGTTATATGAGGTTAAGAAACAAATGCAAATACCTTATGGTTTGCAAACACACTCTCTGGTTCATTAATGCAACAGAATTCATTTGTTCCTGGAATATCTTGCACTGTTATCACATCAACCACTCCTGGCAGTCTGAGGGCATCAGATATATCAATTGATCTTGGGGAAAAAAACATTGACTAATGATTTCACAGAAGTTTGGGCATAGATAAGAGACCACCAGCATAAACAATTCTGCAGCTTTCATGTAACTTTTTTTTCAAATTATGTCACATCTTACTCAAAATTTTAAATATATTGTGGAAAAATACTCATGAAAAAATTGCTTCCATCAACTCCAAATAAAAAAAGTATGCATGATATCTACTTTCCACAAAAAAAATGGTTCCCCAAGTGACTTTGGGTGTATTCCTCTGGCCCTATAAAAGTAAAATTTCCACTGAAACTAATAGGAATTGTATTGCCTACACAAAGACTTCAGGATTTAACCTTTTACATAGCAAACACTTTTATTTATGTACTTACATGATCTTTGCATGGGGTCTTGAACTGGTTACTACAGCTAAAAAGAGCTCTTCCTCTACAGCACGAATGTCATCACAGTAAATAGCTTCACCAGTGGCATGTTTAATACCAGCCAGATGCATTAGGGGTCGCCCTACTGGATCCTGAGAAAGCTGCTCTGGGTCTACAGACTGCTTATTAAGAAAAAAAATCATATTTGTTATCCTCTCATTGCAGCCCAAGACCTTTACATGGACACAGGCTTATTTAAGCAACATCTACTTGGTACAGTTAAATGCTAAATGGAAAAGAGTGTTATATGTTTATAAAGCTGTCATAACTCTGACAAGAAAGTACACTTGTGGTACTACATCAAGAATTTATTTGGTATATACAAAAAAATGCTGACCTGGTAGATTTGTGAACTTTGAGGTATTTTGGTGTGGAAGTCATCTGGCATACTTTTGCATTTTTCTGTTGTATCGCAATACCTATGGGGATACTGATAAAAAGATGAACATGATGATTATTTCAATGCAGTTGTTAAAGTAAAGATCTATATTTATACCTTACCTTTAGAAAACTAAAATGTATTGTGTAAACTATGTAGAGTCAGAGATACCTCAATGGCAAAACCACATGCAATAATTTTTAAAAGGTTATAATAAGAGCAAGATTCTCAGAATTCTGCAGAATGTTTTGGCAAATATGTAAATTGCCTGTCAAGAATGACTGGGGGGATGCGGGTGGGGACAGAGGCCTGTGTCTGCCCCCCCCTTCAGGTCTGGGCCTGCTCCCTGTATTCCTCTGCTACGGGGCTGGACTTGCACCCCCCATGCCACCGTTGCAGGACTGGGCCAGGCTGGGCCCGGTGCCCCGCCCCCACTGCCATTTTGGAGGGTGGGCTCGTCCCCGCATCGTTGCAGGGTCAGGCACAGCAACCCTTTGCCCACTGCTGCTTCAGGGCTGGGCTGGGCTGGGCCCAGTGCGCAGCCCCACCCTGCCTGCTGCTGTTTCGGGGCTGGGTCTGCTCTCCCCTTCCTGCTGCCATTGCGGGGCTGGGCTGGGCCAAGCCTGGCATGCCCCCCGCTCCATGTTGCCCATTGCTATTTTGGAGCTGGGCCTGCATCTGCACCCTCCCCACCACCGTTGCAGAGCTGGGCCAGGCTGGGCTGGGTTGGGCCTTGTGTGACCCCCCCCCCCCCCC